AGAGAGAGAGAGAGGGAGGCATCTAATTCAGAAAAAAAGACCACCAGGGATATAAATCATTTTACTTTCTGTAAAACTATTGTAGATGCCATGAACTTATGGAGGAGAGACTAACATTAATCAAACATGTATACCTCAATAACTACATATAGTTCTACCAAGTGAAAAGTGCATAAAATAATAATTGATCAAAGAGAGAGAGAGAGAGAGAGAGAGAAGTGCTTTGCATGTAACTTGTATAACCTGGGAGCCTCTCAGGATGGGTGTAGCAGATGCCATCTTCACCATCAATTGTGGGTATGAACTCATCTATCAGAGGGTGGGATCTCAAATCTTCTTCCTTAACCTTCGCTTCCAAGTGCTCTATCAATTCTTGATCTGTCGGATCAAACTTTACTCCTGCCGGCAATCCAACCCAGTCCTGCAATTACCAACCGCAATTACTCTTTGCTTATAATTGCTGAAAGGATTCATGAGACGAATGACAGATTCATACCGGTCTTTGATCGAACTTGTGGCCACAGCCAGGGCACTGCTTGGATCCACACACCCGATGCTCTTCGAGTTTGGCGTCGATGAGACTGGAACCGCTGACTGAGCCTTTAGGACTTGTGTTCATGGCTGCTTCACACAGGCATCAAAATTTTGCTTGCTGGAAATCTCATGAACATATCTTCATGATCACCTGTCGATGGTCATCTTGATGCTAATTAAGCCTATCAAAACATACTTAATATGTTCCTGATTTCAGAATTGAGAAACTGAAACTAAAAGTAAATGAAGAGGAAAGAGTTATAGTCTGATTCAACACTCATTCAACCGTTTGCAAACAACAACAACAACAACAATTAGAACAAGTGGTGCAGAAAGAGAAAATAGACGACCTTCAAGAGGAAAAGTGGGATTCATGGAGGAAGAATAATACTATTCCCATCTGAAACTAATATCAGATCCAATTCAGGAAACCCAGCTGAGCCAAGGTGTGGAAAGAAGCGGAAAACTACAAGCGGAGGGGAAGAAAGAGAGAGAGAGAGAGAGAGAGAGAGAGAGAGAGAGAGAGAGAGAGAAGAGGATATGCTAAGAGTTGCAAAAGGAGGAACTGGGAGTGGGTTGTTGATCTATAAAAGACCTTCTTTAGATATAACAACATATTACGGCTTCTTCCACTTTAACCGAAGCCCATGGGGAAAAGGAAAAGGCTCTCAAAATACACACACACACAGAGTTACAGTGAGAGAGAGGGAGGGAGGGAGATGACCAGCTTTTGGATTTTGGCAGTTCAGCTACCAAAGCAAAAGCAGGAAACGGCCATGGCTGCTGTTACTGCACATCACCAAGAACCAAACTGAAGACTATGAAACATCGACAGAAGGATCGAACAAGGGATCCAAGGGAGAAGACAAGGCTGATCTGTCTCCCCAAGGGAAGACCACCCACTTCATCAAGAACTACTACATGGCAGAATATGCGTACCAACAACATTGAACCATTTGGTGAATAAAGGAGGAGTTGGGTCTCTATATTTTCTAGCATGAAATGATGGAAACAGGATATTTTCCCTGTTCCTGCAGTGGAATTGGAGGAAAAGAGAACCGAGGAATAAGAGCTCACATGGGCATTGGGATGTGTCGATATGATGATCCTTTTGTCCACGAAGTTGAAGAAGCTTGCGGATGAGCGAGAGAGAGAGAAGAGAGAGAGAGAGAGAGTGGCGAGGTGGTGAATCTATAGGTTGCTTCGTACCCAAGGCACACAGGGGGATAGGACACTTGATGTAACCCAAATAAAATAATAATCTCTTTACACACATGACATACCCGCAGCCCTACCAGCCTTCAGCGACAAGATGGCCAAGGGGGAACATATAATATTATATATATATATATATATATATATATATATATATATTTATAATTATAAAAAAATTCTTGATGTTATTATTTATAATTTTATTTTATTTTTTTAAATGTTTTTAAATTATTTATTTATAAATTGATATGAAAGAAAAAAATTAATAAACGGGTGAGAAAAAATAATTCTATATATTTTAAGAGATATTAAGAGCTAATAGTTTGAAATATAAAAGTTTGATAAGGTTTTAAAAACTAAAATGCCCGTCAATCTTACTTTCTTTCCCCTATCCCTTATACATTGAATATTTTAACCATCTAATTAATGAATCATAGTTTAAAGTCAAACATAAATTATAATACTTACTAAATCCATGATACATTATACTTTATAATTTTAAACTTTTATAATTTTCTCAAGATAAGAATTATTATTATTTATTTAGATTAAACTTGAAATTTATTGTCTTACAACTTAGAAGCATTCAATGCTCACCCTGCATCATCCTCCCCGAATGAAAAAGAATTTATTCATGAGAAAGTAATAATTTATAAATGTTAAAAATAGAATAAGTATAAACTTCAGGGGAAAGTTTAATCTTATAAGCATTATCATTAATTATCTTGAGAACTTGATAGAGACCAATTTTCTTCTCTCTAAGTTTATTATAAACTCCTATTAGAAAATATTAAAAAAAGACTCAAACAGGATCTCATTATTTAAAATCTTTATACAATGATGCTTGTTGGTCTTTTGTCTGTAAGCTTAGTTGCTAGCTGAAAAGTTTCTTCTTTACTTATTCATGAATTTTTATCATGGTAATAGCAAAATCCTCACCTTTCCAAATTGATAAAAGTGATTCAGGTACTTTAGCACGGTCTAGATAATAAGGTGAAATATGATCATAAATAATCTCAAATAGACTCTTGCTCGTATAACGATTAATCATAGAGTTATAAATAAATTCAGGGGGTAATATGAGATAATATTATTTTGGTTTTTTACAACAAGGTTCTTTTAACAATCTCAATTTGTCTATCTATTTGAGGATGATAAGTATTACTATATAATAGAATGGTGCCAAAAATCTTCCTTAAACTTATCAAACAAATGACTAAAAAATTTATTAATAGATTTAGGAATTCGAAAAAATTTGACCACTTCATTCAAACAAATGTTAGCAAAATAAGAAGCAGCCATGGTCTTTTTAATGTATAAAAGTATTATTTTTAAAAATTAATTAATAAAAATAAAGATAGAATCTATACCTCTTTGAGTTTTCTACATACCAGTTATGAAATCCATAATAATGTCTTCCAAATGAGCATTACGAATTGATAAATGAGATTCTGAATTTATCTTTTTGAAGTTTGGCATATTTTATATCTTTTCAAATGCAACATCTTAATAGAGCTTGTAGGCTAAAATTTTTTTGCTTTGATGAGAAAGACTATTTTGTCTCTCCCAAAATAACCTTCTAATCCATCAGAGTAATTTTTTGTAATATATTCTCTTAGAGAATATTTAAGAATACAAAGTTAAGTTCTATGAAAGAGAAAACTATTTTTGATAACATAATTTTCTTAATCACACTTCGTGCATAACTCCTGTATTCCAAAATCTTCATCATTAGCGTAACTATTTGCTAGTGCATCTATAACCTTATTACATATTTCATTATTATGCTTTAAGATAAAAATATATTCTTGCAAAAATGCTACCCATCTTGCATGTTGTCTATTAAGATTGGCGTGAGAACTTATATTTGTAAGAGTTTTATGATCAAAATTTAAGATATTTTTTTTGAATTGAATAAGATATCTAATATCATAATACTTAAACAATAGTATAAAATTCTATATTATATATTAAATAATTCTTTCTTGTATTATTAAACTTTTCACTAAGTTGATGTCCTTAGCTAAGTACTTTACCAATACCCACATGATGGACATCATAATCAACCTCAAATATTTAAAAAAAATTCAGTAACGTAAGAATATCTGTAGTAGATAATTTTACAGTAGTTCAAAACTATTGGGTGTCCATGGTTGATAAAGTAGTTCTTAAATGTTTAATATGATCAAATTTGTTATGTGCCCTACAAGCCATTCACGTGAGTGATGACACGTGTAACTTGACACGCAATCTTTTTACTTATTATATTTTGATATTTTATATATATATATATATATATATATATATATATATATATATATATATATATATATATATATATATATATA